GACGATCGACGCGATAGCTAGCGAATCCATCCAGGTGTATTATCTCATCCTCAATTTCATTGTGGAGCCAACTTTCTTGTTGCATGATCACACCTAGTTGGGCATATTCCCGTTGTTTGATTAAGCTGGTGAGATCGGCCATGTTTCCGATAAGAGATCGAACGTTAGAACTGAGAATGATGAGAGATGGTTTGTTTCCGAAGAGCAACTTTCCAACCGGCTCGATGCTTCCTCGGATTTTTCGAAAGCTTTCTGGACGTCCGTTTGCTTTTATTATAAGCCATAAAAGTCTTCCCAAAAGAGGTTGTCGCTGCATATTTGGTCCATTTGATGGAATGCATGAAATCACGAGTGTATTTGATCAAATTTGTCATTACTGTAATAGCACAACAATTGCCTTGGCAACAAAGGTAAAAGTTCATGCGAGTGATACAAAAGTCAGACACAGTTATGGTTATGCAGTGAATAATCCGATGATGGAAAAAACGGATAGCGCGGCCGAAATTCGAAGGCCCCGCCGAGTTGTGACTTCAAGTGAGTCCAACCAATCGCACTCTACTGGAAACCCCACAACATTATTGGTGTTTCGGCCGTTTAATGTCACCCATTAGACCGTCTAAACCCCGTCCAGTCCGAATGAACTCACTTCCCCGTAAACAAACAAAAGTACATTTTTAGTGAGTTACCGAGCGAGGTTGAATGTTTCGGGAGGAGGGTGATTGGGTCGATGTGGGCCGTTCTCCCCCCGCCCCCTCCACACACACCCGTTCCACCCGGGAACGTTATGTTCGTGATCGTTCACCGCGTGTGCGTCATAGGTACGAATGAACTAACCCGGAGTTAATTGACCTCTGTCGGTCGGGTGAGGAAGCGAATCACGTCAAGATGGACCGATAAGTCACCAAGCCCCGAACTGAATGTGAATGGTATGAGTGGAATCAGTCTAAGCCCACAATAACCCAATGAGTAAATTCTATTGAGGCCGAGTTTCTCTCGAATAAAACCGATTCCTTTGAATCAAATGCGATTGCTTACGTATTTCTGACATTGAAATGCACACTTCACAAGATACTTAACATGCATAAGATGATGGGGGTGACTAATGTAGTTAGTTTCTCCGCTGGAATCGACTCCAACGGTTGATGGCTTGTACCATTACAGCCTAACGATAAGCGAAATGTCGACCTGCCCAACCTAGTGTACTATTTTTACATTATCGTTCGGTTTTAAAGATGCATGAACTTCCTGCCTCGATTTTTCTTTAATCACCACGTGTCCTGGAAAACACTGCCTACCGAGGGACTGGCTCTGTATTATCTACAAATGCACACTGTAATTGTGCCCTAAAGTCTACGAACTATCTGATACACTCGGCCTATAGACTCCAATAATAATAGAACTTTCCGACTTACATCTCCCATTCACAAAAATTTTCAGTGCTTATAAAAGATCATATGTATTAAAAATCAACCATTTTGATATCTGTCGGACAATGTGCACGTACATGGTTAGTTGCATCCTGACAATTATCCTTCGTGATATGAGACTTGGCATCACCAGCAATACCTTCCAAATATGCCATCCTCCAATCCTGTTGGTTCATTTGTCCTTCGGGATCACCCGTCATAATCTTGGCATGCTGACTGCTAACATTGGTAACAATGGTGAAAGAAGTAACGGTATCTCACCTGAATAGTAAGATCGAATTCGAATCTAATCATTAGCTAACAGAAATCATATTTTTCTCTATCATTCCCTGGCTGATGAATACATCCAATCCACAATGTCAATGGCAACAATTCGTTATCTGCAGCTTCTCCCTACGATACTCAGCTTCATCGCATAGGTTTTTATCTTTATTGTATCACTGCTCAACCCGCCGCATCCTTTCACATACTAGTTTGGGAATACGGATAATCACGGCCTGTTTCCGGGGAGGTGGAAAGGAAGAAAGTTGGAGGGAAAGACTGAAAACACGTAAAACGAGCTAGCTCGGGAGTACACCTTTTAAGGACTATGCGTGGAATACCGTCCGGACCGGTTGGTTTGCGTTTAGAGAGCGCAATGTTTGACGGGTTTTCCTAGTGCTGGTTGACTTTAAGCCACCCAGAATGGCCTTTTCCGTCAACTCTTGAGCTGCAGGAGTCAGCGCGATTGGACGAAACCGTGTTGCAAGAACGGTTGGGGACGAGGATTTGGGTTGAGAATTATGATAACCTGACACCCAGAATCAGGAATCGATCGATAAGATAGGGACTCATCAATGAGGGATGTCATCGTATTGTGAAGCTGCTCCAAATTTGAGAGGTGTCGAAGGAAGGGCCTGTTGCTGAGGATGCTTTGGATGATCGGAGAAGTTTCAAGCTTTCATCGGTGGAAAGAGGCACTGAGTTGGGTTCATTATACGAGAAGGGGGAATCTGGCTCTGGTTTGACGGGTGGACGGAAGCGGCGTTAAGGCCGTTGACAAATACCTTGCCGTGAACTCCTGGTGTTCCTTGTTGCGGAATTTGGGCGGCAAAGATACTTTATATCAGACCCAATTGAGGTTGAATAATACTTTACAACTGATGTATGGCGAGATTTGTAGGCTTTCTTTGTGCCTTCTCAGTGATTTCAAAATGGGTGAGGTAATTATACCATCACATACAAATAGGATTTTCATGGAGCAACACAAGTTAAAAGTCGAATTAATTATTTCATTGAACAGACTAGCACATTTAAAAACTGATGAACAGGGATCAAAGCAAAACAGAACGGGTGGGAAGAGAGATGAGGCTAGGTGAAAAGTCTCATTTGAAACTTTATCAAGTAAGTGAAGATTTTCATCTACTAATGCAACTAGGAACGGGTTATAGGAATCAAAGCGGAGATATCCGCCTAGGTACACGAAGGAGGTATATGCACATTAGTGATGATTATACTTTTGTGACGGGAAATTTTGGGATGACAACGAACGGACTATTAGTCAATGCATTTCTCAGAATAGTCATAAGTCACTTCTGACTTGTCGCACTAGGAAACATTGATGTCTGAGCATAGGAGAATCCCTCCTATGGCTGTGGTAACACCAACGTTTCCAGTTTGTCCTAACTGATATGACGATATTATATGATCTGTTCGTGCTATACTCACTGTTTCACTAGGTCGAGAACACACTGCTAATAAGAAATTTCCGCTGCGATTCATCTTCCCTTTTATTCGACGAAATTGTCAGATGGCATTGAGTGTTCACAACGCAGTCCATTTCACACACTTCCTGAATCGTCTGTGTATCTAATGCGGAAAGCCGGACGTTCTTTTTGATTTTCAACTGCTCGTTGAAAACAGCTCACAGTCGTCAATCATTGCAAGATGGGCCTACCGAATGATGAAAAAAGCAGACTTGGTCTGGCTGAACGCATGATGTTTGAGTCTCAATCCGCTACGAACCGATTTGGTTCAGGGTGGAATAAATATGTTCAGGAAGACGCCAATGACTACGGTTGAGTTGAGTAACCACGTGAAAAGGTTTGTATTTTCAACTGCCCAGCTTAGTTCATTTTAGACAGGTGGTTTACACAAACTTTCGTGGTATCACCCATCCGGGAAATATACTTCAAAAAGGCAAAATGCCACTGAACGTTGTATCTTATCCGACATGTAGAGACGCCGCTGATACCACTTTGTAAACATATTTCCTGGATTCTTCATGAATTCTTCAGTGGAGACAACTCTTGCTCACGCACAAGAAAGTCGCCGATCAATATTAAGGTTACCGTGTGTAGAATACTTTACCCATCTCAGCTTAATACCCCATTATCTACCCGGTACAGATTTATCGTCACCTGTGGGATCATGTATTCCTGTGACTCATTCTTATCACAATCAGTTTCATTTACTAAATTATAAGGATCGCGCAGATGCAATGAGGGAAAGGTCCGGCGGGCTGATCAGCAATGCAATAAGGATCAGAACCTATGCTACGAAGCTGGTCAGCGAAGTGAGAAACTGCAGGTGACCGTTTGTTGCCATTGGTATTGTGGATAGAATGCAATAATTATCCCGGGAATTGCAGAGAAAAAGTGTGATTTCTGTAATCTAGTGAATGAGTCCGAATTGGATCTTGTTATTCCGGTGAAGTACTGCTAATCCTTTGACTGGAACCTGGTATCCTTGTTAAGTATATTACCGAGCGGGCTTTTCAATGCCAGAAACATGTAGGCAATCGCAGTTGACTCAGAAGAATCGGTGTTATTTGTGGAAATCTCTACTTTGTTAGAATTTGCTCTGCGTACAGCGAAGTACAGGGAAGCGAACTTCACTGATCGCTACCAAACTTGCAATGCATATGCATTACGATTTCATTGACGGGTACTGCCGGGGAGTTCAGCCATTAAGCAGGAGAACGATTGGGGTTCTCAACCGAAGCCTTTAGTTATGACAAGGACCTAACCGCAAGGCAGCGGTTAGGGGCGGATTGTAGGCCCATTAACTTGGATGAATTACTCCTCCATCATCTTTTATCAACTGAAACGTAAATTATAGTCGAACCCCTAACCCGGAGCACTAGGAGACTGAACTTCGTCCGATCTCTATCCATTTACCTTCCAGGCACGATTAGATCTTTGGCTCGACAAAAGCTATCCTCTGTAGCTTGTTGGGTCAGAGTTGTTCACAAGCCATCTCACCACGTCAAGGTGCAGTCTCGTGATGGTCCTAGGCTGAACTCATACATGCGATAAATCACTCATACATTCACGCCCTAGCACGTTGACCGACTTATCGATCCATCTTGACGTGATTTGCTTCCTTAGTCAGTCGATCGAGGTCAATGGGCTGGTTCATGCAATTCGGCTCACTCGATGAACGGTCACGGGCGTGGGGAGGGGGGGGGGTTGGAGACGAATGGTCAGGATCCACCCCCACCCCACCGAAACTTTCATCCCAACTCTGACTCAAGAAGTACAGTGCGATTGCCCCATCGTTTCATGTCGTTTGGTCCCAGTCACCCTTGACCCTGAACAATTAAATCCCCGCTGACCCTCTCTACGATCTAATCTGATCATTTTCCGCGGTTTGCACAACTTGCAATCCCCAATCCGACACGAGACTGTCTGATCACCGGTTCGTAATGTTTGTGGTGCTCTTATTATCACCTGTAATCCTTCCACATGTGAGGCCCTAGCTTCGCACTCATTTAAATGACACGCATCCAACATTAGCATTCCTGATTCCAGTATCCTTCTGGGCAGCTACATCTCACCCGGTGGACGCATCACGGATGAGGTGTGAAGGGTCAAGTGTATGCTGCAGCAATTCGACCAGTTCTGCTAAATGAAGCAGAAAGTTGGCCATTAAGAAATCAGGACAAAGATAGATTGTCGGTGTTTGAACATCGCTGCCTACGCAAGATTGCACGAATCTGGTGGGGCAGCCGGTCGAGCAATGTTGAGGTCACGAGAAAAGTTTTAGGCAACCGCGTTCGCTCACTGGAGCAATTGATTAGCAATAGATTACGCTGATTGGGGCATGTGTTGCGCATGTCACCAGATAGGTTGCCGTGACGATCGATCTTTGCCGAGGCAGATACAGGTGTTGACCAAACTCGTGCAACATCACCCTCATTTTGAAAATCCATTTCAGCTTGCAATATCATAGGGATATAAAGATGGCTATGAGTAAAGTATATTTATTCCCGACTTTATCTCCAACATCTATGTTCTTAGTTTATTTTTATCATCATTTGAATGTGCGCGACCTTGAATGTCGCTATAAAATTTGCAGTAGTTCGAAAGTTACAGCTCTGATTTAGAAAATATTTTGGGCAAAGCAGCATGGGAGCTCATTCTTTTTAATAGATGATTCCTGTCCTATGAGAGTTTATATTAGGTTGAGCACACGTGTTCTAAATTTTTATTCGCTTTTCATTCAGCGCACAGTAAATAAGTAAATTATTGAAAATATTCTAACCTAAATAAAATGCTAAATTATTAGGCTACAAACTACTTACGTAGTATCTCCAATACTGGAAGAACTGAAAACATAGTCTAAGAAAGACACAAGTTGATCTTCGAAAGTTGACCTTGAGATGTGCGGCTCGTTGAATAAACGTCCTTTAGTGTCATCATGCCAAAAACGAATGAAACTTTCAAAAGGTTTTGGCATATAATTAAAACGGAGAAGCAACTTAAACGAGAGGCGCATGAATCTTTTGGCTCAGTTGATATCTTGTGGAAGCGCTTCGATGTGAACATAAGTCCAATTTTTTGCATATTCAACGAAATTTCTTCATCAAGACATAAACTG